ATAATTGTTAATTAAGCTATTGTGAACATCAATCATTAATTATTAAGCTATCCAAAATCAAGTCATTCGCTGCGACACGACTATTGTCGATGTAATTTACACTTCTGATATCAAACAGTGTAACAATCAAAAGCTCAAATTAACTCGAATCGTAAAAATGTCTTTGCAAACGACGGTTAAAAGCTAATTAACGAAAGTATACACATTCGTATGCATTATTATCCTTTCGTACCAAGCGAGATGAGGTATCATATCGATCGCTTTCAAAAACGAGGAATGGCTCGTGTCGTAATTTACTTTTTCCAATCCAATCGTTAATACATATCTCGGATACAATTATGCAGACGTGGAATATTTCGCGAATGGAATCACGAATTTACGACGGAGCGCGATCGTTTTTGGCCCTACTTGCATACGATAATGCACGCAATTAGATCGAGAATCGAAACTCATCATTAAAGTACAGGCTACGATCGAGTGTCTTTTGTATCTGCTAGAGCAATTATGCATTTCACAAAAAAATAGTCCATGGAAAAGAGAAAAGATGACAAATATTTTTTGTCGTCTCTTTGTCGTCGATTCTTTTCCCTCTTGTTTTGTCGTTGTACAATTAAAACCGCTTATAATTCCCCCCACGGTAAAGCGCCCGAAACAATGACGCTCGCGGTTATACACGATACACGAGAGTGAATATTTAAACGACGAGAAGATAACAAAACAAAAAAAAGTACGTTCTCCCTTCGGAAAATCTGAACCGTAGACCGCGCGAGGCTCGAGTGTCAGTTTATCATCTTGTATAGCTACAGCTCACTTATAATACTGGCAGCCAGCAGCAACCCCCGCAAGCTCTCTCGCAGCAGTTACGTATTATATACAATACCGAGCTTGCAGCGTATGTATCTGCGGCTTTTTGCAGCCAGCAGCAGGTAAATTTGCAACGCACGAGTTCGCGCAGGCAGGGGTAGAGAGAGAGATACAAGCGTAAAAACACGTATGCGGTATTAATATTGAAAATAGTACAGATAGCGCACCTGAACCCTTGGGTGAATCGAATTTTTCAACCTACGTACCGACCGCACACTGCTTACACACGCCGGATGTAAGTATAAGAAGCGATGGTCGTCGTCGGGAGCGCTTGGACTCTCCGAGTCAATTTTCCCCAGGCGGTTAAGGGCCGCCGCACACAAAAGACAACGATGTCACTATACAAATGCATACATTCTGCCCTCACCCGTTTTCCTTCGCACTCGGGCGTACGTGCATATATGCATGACAGTGCGAGAGGAGATGCACGCGGTGGTAAGAGACAGCAACAACACGAGCTACGTACGTTCATGGCAGGGGTTATACAACAGGGAGTAGAGCAGTATAAGCTATTGTAGCAGCAGCAAGTTGCAAATTGCCTGTTTTGCTGCTGCTAGTGCCGCGTGTGCCAGTGCGGCGGTGGTGGTTGCTCCTCTCTCTCTCTCTCTCTCTCTCTCTCTCTCTCTCTCTATCATGCGCTCTCTCTGGGTTTCCAATACGTTGCTGCATGTTTAAACGGTATAACGAGTATCTCTCTGCGCTGCGCTATACGCTGCTCTATATTACAATGGCAGGCAGCCGCGCTGCAACTCCGAAGTTAATGTATTATTGGTCCAGTTTCGATTAGAAATTGCATTATTTGTCTTTCTCCTCGGCGAGTTGATTATGAAAACGCGCGCAAGCTCGGTGCGCGCTGAATTAAGCTCGAGCGATCGACTCTCTTGAAAGATGTATACTTTCATGAATTTTAATTGAATCTCAGGCAGCGGAGCTTCGTCCTTGGAATGAACTGCTTCTGGCAGTAAACAACTTGTATACTATAACGTATACCTAATGCTAGATCGTGCCTTTCCTTCGTCGCGTCCGGACACACCACTGGGGGTCACACAAGAAATGATATATAATATACGAGAAAGCTATTAAAGATTTTTCATTGCTCTCTCTCTTATTTCCGATCTGCTATATTGCCTTTTCATTTCCATCCTTTTCGGGATTGCAGCTGCCTGCACACCGGGAGGAAAAGCCGAATCCTGATGTATCGATCCGCTCGTTTCTATCTCGTCCACGGCTCGGGCGCGTGCTATTTGAATCGGAATCGACTCGTAAGCTTCTACTACGCTGCGGCGTACGTCGCACGATCGATTGGCAATTTTATTCCGCGACATCTTCGCGAGTGAATTCACAAATTAATATCCCATTCGCATATACAGCGTACCTTATATACTCGACTGTACGTTTATACTTGAATATTCCTGGTAACTCGTTTAATTCTTGCCTCGCGATGATGCACACGCACACGCGCAAGCGACGCGAGTACGTAAGCAGAATGAGAAATAAAAAACTCGTCACTCGTGTACATATAGCTGCAGCTGCATTCTTAGCGATCCGCAGCTTCTCCTTTCCTTTCTTTTTACTTCTCACTCGCAGTCTCGCCTGCTGCTACTGCATACGTTCTCACAATAATGCGACACGAGTTGCTGCTGCTACTGCACTTGCTGTACACATTATAAACTCGAAAGAGAGAGAGAGAGAGAGAGAGATGTGCATTAACGCGTATGCAGTAAGAAGCAGCCTCGAGTAATGGCGGAATAAAAAAGAAGAAGAAGAAGAAGAAACGAATAAATGAACGAGCATCGAATACATGATGATAATGCTGCGTTGCTCGCCAAGAGTGAGTGAGTAAAAAAGGACACGTTTTACATATATACGCACAAAGACAAAAGCAGCAGGAAGACTCGTCGAGCGAGAAAAGTCTTGGACGCAAAAACTCATCTCCGCGCTATATATATGATAAGCATAATACGACGCTCTAAGATCTTTCGCAACGATACAATAACGATCGGTCCAAACACACACACATACAAACAGCTCCACTCGAAATATTTCGGCGGTTTTGTTTTTCTTTTCGCACGTACTCGCGAGAAAGCCACCTTCACCGCCGCCGCCGCCGGCCAATTGACATACATCTGGTGCGCTCGGTATTATCTCCACTGCTGAAAATTAACGGTACTCTATATACCATATATATATATATTGTATGAGGCGATATAACGGCGCTAGCGACGTTGGCCGCGAGCAACAATTCGGCGTCACGTACACTTGAACTCTCGTTGCGCTCTTGCTTGGCTGCGCCTTCGTCTTTCTCCGTTTACACATACACTCGAAGCTCGTATAGGCACTTTGTATGTACGCGCGTTTACGTAAGTACTTAGCGTCATTCGATGTATACATTTAATACTTGTGCGCGTAGTAGGGACCATCGCCCCCTCGCCGGGACGTAGACCTCTCTCGATAACCACTCGTGGCCGGCGCGAGACACTGATGTAATTATTCAGTAAGTACAGGACCTTGTGTGTGTTTCGGGTAATCGCGAGAACATCGAGGATCGATTTATTACCTCGAGATCGCGCTCGGCTATGAGAACGAATCGCGTGTAATTGCACTCTGCATTATTGACAAGAGCATTGGAACTCGATACGAGCTGTTATATTAGGGCAGTTAGTTTTATCGACCAAAGAATTTTCTCAAGTTTCGTATGTTACACGCTTACGATGAAAATTATATCAGTGATCGTTAAACTTTCTCTTGTCTCATCCGTCGTTTTGCGCGCCGATCGCGCGACGACTTTGTCGTCTGCTGCTGCTCCGATATACATAATCTATCTTCTCGAAACTAAAGTAGACGACAACGACGACGACAAAAAAAAACAAATCTCGCGCTCGACTCGATTTCTTAAATCCCACTTCTGGAAGTCTTATAAACTATCCGCGCGCATCGCTGCTATGTTTACCCACTTAAGAGACTCTTATACCGTGACTCTGCGAATTATCATAAATGAACGACTTTTTCATTCTTTCGCGCGCGCCTGAGAGAGAGAGAGAAAAAAGCATAATCGAGTCGAGGCACTTTCATTTCAAGTTCGCACAGCAGCTACGTAGACTCGTGTGATAAATATAAAAGTTTAACGCGCCGCGCAGCAAAAACAAGACTTTCACTGGCAATAAAAAAAAAAAAAAAATGAAATAAAACAAACGACAATAATATATAAGTAATCGTGTAAGCATCTGCGATGAGATCTGTTAGATTACAAGACAGTGACGCGTACCTAGATATATAATACGTTTTATACATTTCATACGGCGGCGAATTAAAAATACACGCACGTAATTGCACGTGCGTCGCGCCGTCGCAATCGCATCGAAAGCCTATAATAATAAACAAAGTATGGCACCGATTGGAAATTGTTACATATGCTTGGCTGATTAGCAATGACACACTGACTACCATCCACCTCCTCCCACACGCGTAATAATGATTCGCATAAATTGCCATCGCGCACGATCGTCTCGAATAAATGCCGCTAAGCACACGACACGCAAGACTACAGCATATGGTTGGCAATGATTTCGAGCTTCATCGTTCAACGTCGTTTTATCGTACACATTTATAATACGTTTATGTATTTTCCTTTTGTTCGTCGGGCAGCTCATGGAGAGAAAATCTCTTTCGCACGCTCGTGCGAACTTTTAGCTCGGTTCCATATGGCGGTTATATCGTATGTACGAAACGTCGCTCGTGGCTATACAATAATATATTGTAGTAGTACGTCCGCGAGATAACGATATCTATTCGCGCTCACGTCCCATGTGCCGCTTCGCTATTATAATTCAGTGTTTCCGTCTGGAAAAATAAGCTCACTTCTCGTATGCTCCAGCGTGCGCGAGTCAGCGCGGGCGCTATTTTTAAAACTTTACTGCCGAACCGAGAGAACCCTTCACTCCGCCGGTGTATTTTATATAGCATGTATAGCATTATAGCAGGCGCAGCAGCATGTGTATTATACACATCTTTCTCTCTCTCCCGATTCACTTCGCGGCCGGGGCATACACACAAACCGGTTGTGTGTCATTATACGCTCGCAGAAAAGGAGTCGCGAAGCAACCAAATATAAAAGAAGAAGAAGAGGAGCCACTGACCTCGAATCGAACTTGCTGCCGTTGTCGAGCGTGCCGGTGTAGTGCATCGTCAGCTGGTCGCCCTTCTTCGACTTGACGTCGCACACCTCGGGCACGTAGACCTTCTCGACCTTGAGCTCCTGCGCCGCCCACGTAGCGGCCCAGCACATCGCGAAAAGCACAAAGAATTTGGCGATCATCGTTTTATATCTTCTTTTCTTTTAGATCAAAAAGAAATCAAAAGAAAAAAAAACGAAAAATAAAAACGTGGCCGGCGCGAAACGGAGCAGCTTTCAAAAGCACAGCTTTTTTGTTCTCGTGTCAAATAAAAAATAAAATAAGATAACTTTGGTTCGTGTGTGTTTATACGTTCAACGTGTATTTATCTATCTATATATAGAGAGAGAAGAGGAGAGCTTCGACGCGACGTACTCGAGCTCGAACGAAGCACTACTGCACGAGCATCGTCGGAGGCACTGGCGTAGCGCGAGAGAGAGAACACCCAGGCGGCTTCCACCAACGTGCTGCTGCCGCTGCTGCGCGTAGCCGCCGACGACGACGACGGCGGAGGATGACGACCTTTACGCGCGAGCAGCGAGCGCAAGAGGAGGAGGTAGTGGTGTATAGTACACGTCGAGCCACATTGCGCCGTCTCATTGGCCCTCTGCGCCGACGCCGAGCGCTCTTCGTCTCTCTTTCTCTCTCTCTCTCTCCTCTTTTCCTCTCTCTCTCTCACTGCTGCTGCTGCTCCGATGTTCGTGTGCAATATTATTATATATACGCTCGCTGCGCGAATATGTAGGTCTCGAGCGCGTGCAAAATGCCTGTATACGTGGCGGTGCGCGAGGTTTAATGACGCGCCGCTGATGCTGCGCTGCAGAATGCAAAATCGCCACATCTCGGCCATATGGAGAGCTTTTTTCGGACTTTTGAATTTCGGAGCCAGAGAGATAGAGCTTTAGATTGCCTTCCGTACTCGCGCGTTACATTAGACTGGTTCATCGTCATCGTCGCGATGATCGTCCGGTGAAAGTAGAGGTATCAAAATGTTGCACGGAAACAACAAAAAAAGATTAGCTGCATTAGCGACAATGTGCGGGGATTGCATATGTGTGTAATACTCGTGTATAACGATATTGTCACGCGCGCGGTAGTATAATGTATATACGTAATACAGAAATGTACGCTTGCATCGTGCGCACACGTGCAGATTGTGAGCAGCTCGATCGAGGAAGTTTATAATCTCTCTCTCTCTCTCTTAAAATATAGCTGAGTGTGCTGATCTTGGGTGCAGCGCGTACAGAAATCGGAGTACACAGAGGAGTCGAGTTTTTTAAAATGAGAAATAAGTTCCGAAACGCCGTTTTTCTTTTCTTTTGAAATATTCTATCGTTTCTACTATTTGGCCCGTACAGGATAGAGAGGCAACGACCGATAAGATAGCTGAGCGTCTTCTGCTACACAAACGCCTAAAACTCGAAATACAACTTGAAATAATTCAGTATACGTAATATTCAAGATTTAATGTCACTGCCGTATTAATGCGCGCTAAATATTATCATTAAACTGTACTCTTCGTTACGGTACTAGACTTGTATTACAAGTTGTAACATCGAACCGCCGCGCACACCTTGGTGTATCATGGCGTGTGAAGTATGGCATTTATATGCATGTGCACGGGATATACACAGGTATTATAATACTTTCATGAATGAATCAAAAGGTTGTTATTCAGGTGCCGAGAGAGGCACCTGCACTTATATTAAAACATAGTATACATGAAACGTTATATCGAAAGAATGAAAAAACGTAATCGTCGATTTAACACGACGTTGACGCGCTGCTGCGTTTCGATAGATAGGTGACGCGATATAAAAAACGGCTGAAATTAGTGATAATTAGATGAGCTTTAAATAAGATAAGATAGTCGTTGAATTATTATTACCGAAGGTGGTTAACAATTAACGTATATAAAAAAACTGTTTTTTATGGCCAAAGTCTCCAAGTTCAACTATCACGCGCGTATAACCCGTGAAGGGGCTTCAGAAAAAAAATAGAGCGTCGACTGTCTAAAAAAAAGTAGCTGATATGTACATCCCAGAGGCTCTCTTTATTTGATATCATCCCACGTAGAGAGAGTACATCGCGCGCAACGCAAACAAGACACGCGTCGACTATAAGGCAGTAGCAGCACTACTACAACCGAGGCGAGAATCCAAGCGAGTGGAAAGATATCGCGTTCCAGAAATAACCAAGACAAACTTGGTGATTTCGCATGCCCACACGTATACAAGTATACACACAGACTTGAAAACACACACAGATGCAAATACGCTTACAGAGGTGCACAATCTCCGTTTATGCTTATATTACAATAGCGATATATCGCGCACGTGTGTACGCACGAAGCTTACGTTCAAATATAAGTCGCCGTCAGCAGAGAGACGCGGATGTATAGTATCAGTCGATTTTCTACTTTTATTCGTTAAACACGTGAATTTCGGCGTCTTGGTCGTCGACGTTTGAGCCTCTGTGCGACTCGGTGAATTTTAGTTTTGCGTGAAACTGTGTTAATAAGACAAAAAAAAAATAATTGATGTGTCAGTGAGTTTTCGAGTGCCGTTACAGTCGATCAAAATAAAAAGACAGAGGAATCGAAAAATCCGCGATCGAGAAGCTTTATCGAGAGTTCGCGGCGTTGCAGCAGGTTATCTTGACGTAAGTTGATTATAAAAAATTGTGTCTCTCGTTGCTTGTTGTGGTTATGGCGTTTACGCGACGCCGTGATTATTTTTTTTTCTCTCTCTCTCTCCTCCCCTCCAACGATAAGACCTTGTATATATATGATTATCATCGTACCGGCTTGATGATAATTTTGTTAACATTCGTCGCGTCGAGTGCATAACTCTCGTACCGCAACGGGAAGGCTGTCGTCGAGCCGAATTTTTGTTTTTATTATTTATTTATTTATTTATTTTATAAAAAAAAATGCATACGAGAGCAGGCAATAACCGTATATTATAACGCCGCTCTGCCGCGTTTGCGAAACAAAACACCATAGCGGCAGCAGCTCTGTATACCAACAACCTCTCGTGGCTCTAACAATAAAAATACTTTTTTTGCGCGAAGCGCATAACACTCGCGCGTACGTATAGAAATGCACAAAGCTCGGTGTGCAGTCGCTGTGTTTGTGTGTATATAGAAGTATAGAGGAAACCTTACTGTACAATACACACGCGGCGGTATACGTATCAGCGCGACCGCCCGCAAGAGCAGTAGAAGGGGGTCTATATGCAAGCTCGAGATTCCGGAACTTCCGTTTCCCAACAGTTATATGCGCGCGACGTTCTTCGCTGCCGTGAAGCTTTGAGGACAGAGAGACGCGAGTCTCTCTCTTGTGTACGATACTACAGAAAGAGGAGCGAGAGATGCGAAATACGTGTTTGTCTCGAGCATATATTTACTTTTCAAAAGAGAGAGAGATAGAGAGAGAAACTTCGAGTTAGAAGAAGGAAAGAAGAAGAAGCAGACACGAGTACTGCCGTCGACGACGTTTCGGAGCTTATGCATAGCTGCATACACAAACGCGTTTTATGTGTATACGGGCGCGCGTTGAAAATCTCATGTGTCTTAGGCTGCGCCGCGCTGTGTCGTATAAGCTTATACCACCGCTGCTGCTGCTGCTGCTTTTGCTGCGAGCTTAAGAAAGCTGCGACTGCGACGTGTTTATGGCGCGTTTGCCGAGAGATAGAGAGAGCGCGAGCAAAAGTTAATTTTTGCACCGAAAAATCCAATTTCTTTTATATATACGTACGGAGGGAGGATAAGTCATACGAGGCGCGAGTCTGATATACGCCAACGACACGAGACTCCTGCGTGCGTATCCCCACTCCGCCACTTGGCCGCTGCCGGCTCGCGCGCCGACCGGCCAGCGGTATAAAAGACAGCGCCGATTCGATTCGGCACGCAGTTCCACTCCTGGACTTTCCGGAGTCGGATCTTGCTCGCCCACGAGAGCTTGGCCTAGGGACGTTAATAAACCTGAGTTATACATATGTACTCAATCTTATTATTTCTCGCTCCTCTCCAAGCCTCCTTCCTGTTTCTTGCGCTGAGAAGCTTCACTAGCGACCGCTAGGTGGCGCAGCGCCGGCACCCACAAGCTACTTATCCCCGCCAGGGCTTAAGTATCGGCCACTTCGAGCCTCGATCTTCCCCACTCAGCGAGTGTGGCCTGGACTTTCCGGCCACAACTGACCAGCAAGGCCAAGACAAATTCATCGCAGAGTCACCGCAGCCAAGTTTACGAGCTCAACGGCGTTTCCAACCTTCTGTTGCAGAGTTGACTACGGAACGACATCAGATCTCGGCTACCACTCAAACCACACCAATCGACAACTAAACAATTTGGAACTTGTACACGCCAACTCGGCCTCGGTTCTTTTCAGGACCATCTCACGTAGGATTTCGAAAGAACTCGAACTTTTGCTAAAGATCGAGGCTAACTGACTTGTCAATTGCAGAGTGCGAACTCTGAAATTCTTTTCGGTTTCCAGCCTTTTCAAGGCTACCGTTCGAAAGCTGACGAACTTTTGTAAAAGTTCAATTCAAACCGTCTTGGCAGTAACAAGAGTGTAAACTCTTAAAACTCCTTTCGGTTACTAGCCTTCTCAGGGCTACTGTTCGAAAGCAAACGAACTTCTGTAAAAGTTCAAGTCAAACCGTCTTGGCAGTAACAAGAGTGTAAACTCCTAAAACTCCTTCGGTTTTTAGCCTTCTCAGGGCTACCGTTCAAAGGCAAACGAGGCTAATCAAAATTCGACGTCCGCTCATAACAAGTCTGCTGCTGAATATTGCATTATGTACGCGATACAAGCTTCCGATGCGCGAAAAGCGATGCCGATTATATGCACGCATACACGTATATAACGCATTATCATAAGCTTATTAATTCGCGTTATTTTTCTATTCCACGTAATTTTTCCCCGAGACTTCGCTTCGTATTTCTACTACAAGTCGGCACGTTACGTACACTTGCGCAGCGGCAACTACTCTCGCACATATATGCCAGACGCATCGGCAGCATAAAATGATACTACTACCTACATATGCGTACATATATAAATTTGCGCGATCGAACGAGTCGTACGTGATGCTGCTGCGTTGACTCTTGCATTATGCACCGATCTGTGCGCGCGAGTACATTTCTCCCCTCGTCCGCAAACGAACGAACGAACGAGAAAATATAAATCAAGCATTGATCGTAATAATGCCCGGCTTCGATATCATAGACTCGGATAGAGAGAATTACGAGTGAGCTTGTGAGTAATCGATACAACGTCTGGTTCTCCTTTTTTTTCTCCGTGTTTTGGTGTAAGAGGAGAGCCACCCTTATATACACTTCGTTCTGAGAATTTTTCGCGCGCGTTGGGTTCACTCACTCACTCACTCACTGACTCGCTG